TGGTTCGTGCTCTGAACCGGCCCAGAAGCATCGTGCGGGCGTGGGAGTGCGATAGCCCCGCAGAGACACCCGAGATGCGCTGTGCCTGCACGCCAGTGCTGCTGCTTGGAGCTCAGTCACGCAGCCTTAGGGCTGGAAATCACCTTCCCAAACCCGCAAACGGGAAAGGAAGAGAGGGAGAGTTGAGCCGGGACGGGCAGAGCGTTCCCAGCCCGGGAGGGTGCCGGGGAGCCTCTGCTCTGCCTTCAGCTCACGGCTGGGTGGAAGGCCGGGTTTGCTGGCTGGGCCAAGTGGCTGTTCCAGCCTTGGTTGTAGGGATGAAAATCCCCCGTGGTAATCCCGCCTTTCAACAAGGACAAATCTGGGATTAGCCTGCTCGAGATAGTTAAGACAGTAGTGTGTTGCATAAGTGGTGGTGAGCGGCAGGTCCTGCCTGTCCCCTTGAGAAGGGATGAAGCCCCAGGTGCTCTCAGAAGGGCCTCGCCGCTCTCCACATGCCATCCCTCCTCCCGTGGGCAGGAATGATTTCCTCGTGGCCTTTCTTCCTCTAGGCTGAAGACCCGCCATGCCCAGCAACCCGTGAGGAAGAGGAGGAGGTGGTCCGTGTGCTGACTCTGCCTCTGCAGGCTCACCACGCCATGGAGAAGATGGAAGAGTTTGTGTATAAGGTACGGGAGCACGTAGCGAGCCCCCAGTCCCGATTTGGGAGCGTTAGCAGGGTGTGGATGCCCTAACCTGGGGCTGGGGGCGTGTGGGAAGGGGATGGTGGGTGTTGGAGGTTGTGCCCAGCTGTGCTGACCAGCAGCAACCTGGGGAGCAGTCCCAGGGTCTGTGCGTTCCTCTGACGGGGACTGCAAGCACCAGGCACTGTTGCGGGTGTCACCCGGTGCCTGTCCTCGCGGTCACTGCGGTTTGGTAAGCAGCACCATCGGTTGAGAGCCAGCCCGGTTCTGTTGTCATCCGGGGCTCCCTCTTCCCTGACCAAAACGGGAGTTACTGCAGAGAGACAGTTACTTTGGGTGCGGAAGGGTTAAACCTGAGGGTGCAAATTGCCTCTGACTCCCTGGGGGTTGCGGGGAGCGCTCTCCAGGATGCTGTGGCTTAAGGGGTTGAGCAGGGTGCCTGGCGTTGCGAAAGCTGCACTTCCTCTCCCCGAGGAGCGTTGCAGGGCATTTTCAGCCCTGGCTGTGCTCGTTCCGGGTGCGACGCCGTGCTCCTGGGGCTGGCTGGATGGGCGGGGGCTACCAGCACAGCCTGGCGTGTTGCAGGTGTGGGAAGGGCGCTGGCGCGTGATCCCTTACGACGTGCTGCCCGACTGGCTGAAGGACAACGATTACCTCCTGCACGGACACAGGCCTCCCATGCCGTCCTTCCGAGCCTGCTTCAAGAGCATCTTCCGGATACACACCGAGACGGGCAACATCTGGACGCACTTGCTGGGTGAGCGGGGGGTTGGTAGCCCTGGGGCTGAAGGTGGCCTTGGCCCCCTGCACCAGGGTGGCCTTTCACCACCAGAGCTTGCCTGGGGCTGGGGCCCTCTCTGCGCCCAGGGGGGGTCCCGTACCCCTGCCTGGCGCTGTGCACGCAGGCGGCTCGGTCACGAGGTGCCCCCAAAGCCCCTCAGGTGGAGGGAGAGCGGGACGCTTCCTTGCAGCGCGGCCCCGGGGCTGGGCTCAGTGATGGTTTGTGGTTTTGCCGACGCTCCGCAGGAGTGGGACAGAGAAACATGTCCTGAGCAAAACAGGAAAGCCTCGGGGTGCTCTCCTCTGAAACCTAGGCATGGGTCAGTGGCTCCTCGCCCTGCGCCTGACCATGCCCCAGGCTCTGCTTGGCTGCGTTAACAACAGCCTCCTAACAGCCTGCGGCCAGGCCAGCCCCACGTGTGACCAAGCACCTCCCAGTGCGCTGTGAGCAGGATACGTGCAGGGCCTGCCTTCCCGAGCACGGCCAGGCCGTGTTTCTCCTGGCCCTCTGCTGAATTCGTTCACTTTCCTTCTGCCTGACGGTCCCTTTGCTCCGTTCGCAGGTTTTGTCTTATTCCTCTGCCTGGGGATCCTGACCATGCTGCGGCCCAACATGTATTTCATGGCTCCTCTCCAGGAGAAAGTGGTGTTCGGGATGTTCTTCCTTGGAGCGGTGCTGTGCCTCAGCTTCTCCTGGCTTTTCCACACTGTCTACTGTCACTCAGAGAAGGTCTCGCGGACTTTTTCGAAGTGAGTCAGCACAGGCGTGGGTGCGTGGTCTCGTAGGAGGCTTTGAGTTCCTCCTCTTGGGAGGCGCTGTGTTCCCAAACGTGTTATCCCTGGGGAAGGGAACGTTCATTGAATCCGGTGTGGAGTTGAGAGGGAACCACAGCTGGGTCCTGGAGGGCTCTGCCCTGTGCCTCAGCACCCTAAATCTGCCCGCTCAAGTGCCCTCAGGCAGGTGATGGAGACAGGGACCCCGGGAACCTGCAGCTCCCAAGGGAACAGCCTTTGTGCCCCACACAGCAGGGAATTGAGGAGGGATCTCTGTCTCATACAGCAGCTTGGCAGTTTCTAATTTACTTTCAAAAACTTGGGTTTGGATCCGATCTGGGCTGAAACGAAACTGAAAGAAGCAAACCAAACGGGATTCCTGGCAAAGTGGAAGCGCTGGGCAGTGGCCGGTGCCTCTCCCCAGGGTCAGTGCGCAGGGTCCTCTCAGGGTCCTCCGTGGCGCGGGCAGGGCGGCAGCAAGGCGTTCCGCTGAGACCCTGCTCACGCAGGTCTGTCAGAGGCGTCTACCTGGGTGCTGCTTGCTGGGAAATCCTTTGGATCTCCTCTGCCCAGACCCCAGCGATCCTGTGGGATCGTGTCTGCAGAAGGACCCGCACCGCCGTGCCCTCGGCAGGAGTGTCCTTGCGTACCGGGGACGGCACTCCCTCGGCCGCCGCGGTGGTGGGGTAACGCGAGCGGCTGCGTCTTCGCTGGTGAAATGGTTCCTG